AGAGAGATATTGTGTAACTTATTTGGGTTTTATTAGCAAAACATAAGTATCTCTTTTATACATAGATGTTTAAACATGCCGATAACCTATTCAAATTGAAAGCATTTTCGTAGCTTTAAATTAGGTGTTCATAAATGCATATTTCCAGTTGCACACGCCAAAGGGCGCCATATTTGGTAGTATCGATGTGATTACAGTTGCCAAAATAGGACAAACATGTCAGCCAAACAGTTTCATGTCTATGAGACGGAATGCTGTGGCTGGAGTAATGAAGCAAAGAGAAAGGAGTTCCCACTGGGATATGCCGATAATTTATGTCAGCGTAGCTTTCTATAGGTGGAGACAATTCATGAGGGAGCGGGGCTTCAAAATAGATGCAAAAGTGGCAGGCCTTCTGCTGGACAGGTAATAAAATAAAGTGTATTTCTGTCTTGATATTTTACATGCGTATGATCATTTAACTCATAAGTCAAAGGTAATGGTGGTTGATGTTTTCCCTTTTTTTATTCTTTAATGTGAGTGCAGCACTGTAACGAGCTACTGCTTTTTTTGTAGGCCAACATGCGCTTATTGTTTATTCCCATGATCTACTACTAGCCCGAGGTACTGCAGTTAGTAGGTAGTAAACAGAGGAAATCGGAGAATCAAGTTTAACCATTGATGGCTTCCATCTGATCAGAGCCAACAGGACAAGCAATAACGTCTTTTTTTAATAACCGCTGGTGTCGTTCTGAAAATTTTACAGTTATGGTTTTTGCACAGAGTACAATGAGCAGCTACCTGTTGTACTGCGGCCGCACGTTACCTGATAAATTCTTGTAACCTCTTGCCATGAAAGTCAAAACTTTTCTATGCCTCATCTCCCAATGGGACACTCGAACTTGTGCAGGAGGTTGACGTTATCACAATTATGACACTACACATTTGCAATTAATATACCCCACCACTAGAATGTGCACCAGTGTGAAAATCACACTGGGGCTTTAAAAGCTGGTAGCTCTCGATCACAATTATCTAAAATATTTTTTTAGGAATTATAAATTAATTGTTAATAATTATTAATCATAATCTGCAATCATTATAATACCCATAATCAAAAAAGAATACCATTTGTGTTTTTTGCTAAGTAATAATTTAAGAAGGGGAGTGGTGGCCTAGTGGTTAGGACAAAGGGCTTGGAATCCTGAGGTTGGGAATTGAAACCCACTCCCACAGACTGCCACTCCAGCTCTCTGAGCAAAAGCCTTAACCCCTGATTGCTCCCAGGGCGCTGCACAATGGCGGCCCACTGCTCCTCAAAGGGGATGGGCGAAATGCAGAGATTTAATTTGTCCATTGTGCGATTAATAAAGTTAAATCTACTTAAGGAGAGCAGGAGTAGATAATGTAGTAATTATAAATTAAGCACAAATAACAATACAATTAACTATACCTTACTTTTGGACTAATACACAAGATTTAAATAAAATTTCTTAATGTAGCTATTGTTGGTTTTTTCCAACTCAGGAGGCCAAAATGCGAGTGACTTTTCTTTGATATGATCACTTTTTTTGCTCTGGCCACATTTATCACTTCAAACATCTTTTTTAATGCATAGACCTTAATGTTTTCCGTCTTCACAACACACAGATCAATTTTGATCTACTTATTTAGAACCGATTTACACCTTAATTAACATCTCAAGGTTTCCCACAGTCAATTAAAATGAATCACACAGACAGATTACTAAAAAGTTTTCTATCTTACGAAACCCAGCAGATTGAATTGAGTCCTTGATGTTCACTAGACTCTGATAGTTCTGTTAAGCCTCCACCTGTCTCTGCTACAATTTAATCAATGTTCAAAATCATCTTATCTGTCTGCTTAGCTTGTTGCTGCCTTCTCAGATTTATTGGTGTAATGTAGAAAAAAATCCAGGACCTGCTGACACACTAACGAACTGCCTAAGTATCAATAACAGTCTTTTTTTCTTGAAGTGTTCTGGGGGCATTTGTATTGAGCTGTTTGTTTAGAGTTAGCGGGTGGATGACCCAATTCAAGCGTGTGTTGATATAATCTGGAAACCTGGCCAGTCCCTTTGTTGGTAACAGCTGCTTGGTAACCACACCATAGAAGCCTAATCCTTAAGATGAGGGCCCCATTCTCTATTTTAAGTGAATATTTTTCAGCTAATGAAATCATGAAATAGAATAATTACTACTTTTTACAAACAGTGGTTTGCTCGCCTTGTAAACTACAGCTGGTAAAAAGAAGGTTTAAAAACACTTTCTGGCTTAATTGTGTACATTTTACTTTAAATTGAAACCACTCATAATAATAATTCACAAACACACACATTTGTGTAATTTTTTACTAATGGGGCTTTGAATTTGTGGTTTGAACTGTCTCGTTCCTGAAATGTGCTATAAAAATAAAGTTCTCTTGCCTTGCCTGGAAGAGAAAAAAAATATTATTTTTACTGTCGCAAGTGAAATAAAACTTTCAAAAACTATTATTATTCCTATCATGTTATGGGTCATTGTCACTTTGAATTATATTTTGACATTTCATTTCTCATCATATTCTGTACTTATGGCATGGGCGTAGGTTTGCATAGGGACCATGG